CCCAGGTACGTGCCCTCAGCGGGAACTGAACCCGGGTCCCTCCGGACCGCAGGCCGATGCTCTAACCGCTGAGCCAACCCGGCCAGGGCTGTCTTATAGTTTTTATAGAAGTAGGAATGGTAGACAGCTTTCCCTCTGTTACCTCTTTGATCCATTGTAATTCTGTAAGTTCTGTGTTCTGATTCTTTCATGGCCTGGACTCCCATGGGTCTATTACGGAGGTTAAAACATCTGAACATGTTTCAGGACACATTATTTTTTATCCCCTGGTTTAAACCATCTAATTCTCTGAAGGACAATGTGACTGAAAAGTGAGGAAAGAACTATATACAAGGAAGTACAGAAAAATATAAAAGTTGTTATTTTAAGAAATTTTCTAGCTACACGCAGTGTCCATTTGAAATATGTGAAATCGTACCATGCAGATGAATCACTTTTTTCGCTCTCTACTCCTCAGTCATGGGGATTTGAGCATCCCCTCTCCATAAATCCAGCACTGAGAGTAGAACTCCTGATTATCCAGCAGGCAGAACAGGGTCTCATACCCTCAGAATAACATATATGCATTTATATTGGTACTCTTATTTAAATTGTAGTAATTCATTTACATGTGAATTACTGCCACAACACACCACTGACTGAAAGACAAATAAATGAATTCAAAGGCTTGAATATAGGTAAAATATATATGGTTCCTTGCATTTTAATGTTAGACAGGCATTATTAAATGTGCAAAAGAAATCAACTCTTTAAAACATTACAATTATTTATGCACCATTGTTAGCATAGTTTATTGGCTTTCTTCCCCAACCCCTCGTGCATTGCTGCACTCTCCACCTGAAGTTTTGCTGATACTGCCGTCTCAGTCGTGAAGGCTGGGATATCTTCTATCTGTTTTTGTGAGCGGTGTTGGGGAAAGACATGGGCACATGCAGCTGTGTTGGTTATCATCCTAACTCCATGGTCTGGCTGTTTCTGTGGCCTGCATTTTCTTCAACACCAGAGAAAGATTTTGCAGGGTTTTAAAAACTGGTGTGCAAGTTTCTATCTTGTTTAGATTGATGGCAAAAAACAGATCAACAATCTGCTATCCTTCATAAATGGGCCCCGAGCCTAGTCGCATTAAGGATGGGAATTCCCACAGTTTTTAGGTAACTGTGAAGATTTCTTTCTTTTTTTTTATTAATTAATTTTTGTTACAGATGCTTCTCCTTTTTCCCCCACTGATTCCACCCTCCTCCTCCCTCCCTGCCCTGTCCCCAGCTTTGTTGTCCATGTCCATTGTTCATGCATACATGCATATAAGTTCTGTGGTTTATCTCTCCCCCACCACCCCCTCTTTTGGGGATTGTCAGTCTGTACCCCACTTCCATGTTTCTGGGACTACCCCATTCCTCAGACTGTTATGTACATATATAACTGTGAAGATTTCGATGAGCCCTGCCATCAAGAGGCTACTGTAGCATCGGATTGAGTTTTGTCCGACAAGAGGATTACTCATCAGCTAGTCTCTAAAGCTTCTGGGACTTACTTGAGTCCTCCAATCGATTTTGTCATATTAGTTACGGACTTGCCTTTTTTATTAAGAAGAAAAATAATTTTTAATTAGTTTTTTAAAGAAGACACAGGCTTACACCCACCATAACTACTCATCTTGGTATTTCATTAAGGTGGATGCTGGGTAATTTGTGTAATGCTACAGACTTCTGACAGAAACAGCCCCTTTTGCTGTTTTTTTTTTTTTCCTTTTTTTCTGCTTTATTAAGATATAATTGATATATAACATTATGTATTTTAAATGTTGAACATGATGATGTGACACATATATACACTGCAAAAAGATTACCATGATAACATTAACAAATCCATCATTTAAAATAATTACCTTTTTCTTATATGTGATGAACCCATTTAAGATCTACTTTCTTAACAACTTTCAATATAATACAGTATTATTAAGTATAGTCACCAGGCTGTAGATTAGATAACAGAATTTATTGATCTTAAAACTGCAAATTTGTATGCTTTGACCAGCATCTCCCCATTTCCTCCACCCCTCAGCCCCTGGCAACAGCCAGTCTACTCTCTGTTTCTATGAGTTCAGTTTTTTCAGATTCTGCATATAAATGAGATCAGACCATATTTGTCTTTCTCTAACTTATTTCATTTATCATGATGTCATCAAGGTCCATTAATGTTGTCACAGAAAGATTCCACTCTATTTTATGGTTGAATAATATTGCGTGTGTGTGTGTGTGTGTGTGTGTGTGTAACATCTTCTTTATCAATTCAATGGACGTTTAGATTGTTTCCATATGTTGGCTATTGTAGATAATGCTATAATGAACATTATTGGGAATTGGGGATACATATATATTTTTGAGTTAGTGTTTTCATTTGTTTCAGATTAAATACACAAAATGGAGTGACTGGATTACATGGTAGCCCTATTTTTAATTTTTTTTTTTTTTTTTTATCCTCACCCGAGGACATTTTTCCATTTTTTGTACAGATAGAGTGGGAGGGAGAGAGAGGAAGGGAGAGAGAGAGAGAAACATCGACGTGAAGGGACACATCGAGTGGCTGCCACCCGCACGACCAACCAGGGCCGGGGACAAACTGCAACCGAGGTACGTGCCCTTAGCGGGAACCGAACCCGGGTCTCTCCGGACCGCAGGCCGACGCTCTAACCGCTGAGCCAAACTGGCCAGGGCCCTATTTTTAATTTTTGAGGAACCTCCATACTGTTTTCCATTGTGGCTGCACCAATTTGCATTTCTACCAACAGTGCACAAGGATTCCCTTTTCTCTGCATCCTCACCAACACTTAGTTTTTGTCTTTTTGATAATAGTCTTTCTAACAGCTGTGAGGTGACATCTCATTGTGGGTTTTTTTGTTTTTTGTTTTTACATATATTTTTTGGTCATTTGTATGTCTTCTTTAGAAAAGTATCTATTCATATCTCCTGCTTATTTTTTAATATATATTTTTATTGAATGTATTGGTATGGCACTGGTTAATAAAATTAGGTAGGTTTCAGGTATACAGTTCTATAACACATTATCTGTATATTGTATTGTGTGTTCACAACCCAAAGTCAAGTCTCCTTCCGTCACCATTCATTCCATTTACCCTCTTCTTCCTGCTCCCACCCCTCTTCCCTCTGATAATCACCGTACTGAGGCCTGTAAATTATTTTGCTTAATCCCTTCACCTATTTCACCCAGCCCCCCGACCCCACCCTACAAAGCTGTCAATCTGTTCTTTGTATCTATGAGTCTGTATCTATTTATTTGTTCGTTTGTTTGTTTTGTTCATTAGATTCTACACAGAAGTAAAATCATATGGTATAGTGTTTCCTTTAAGATCAGGAACAAGACAGGGGTGTACACTTTTACCACTTTTATTCAACTTAGTACTGGAAATTCTAGCCAAGGTAATCAGAGAAAAAGAAGAAATAAACAGCATCTAAATTGGAAAATAAGTAAAACTGTCGTTATTTGCAGATGACATGATACTATATATAAAAAACCCTAAAGAATCCACCAATAACTATTAAAACTAATAAATGAATTTAATAAAGTAGCAGGATACAAAATTAATATTCAGAAATTGGTGGTATTTTTATACACCAGTAATGAACTATCCTCCTCATTTTTAAATCAGATTGTTTGTTTTTCTGCTAGTGAGTTGCATGAGTTCTTTTATATATTTTGTATGTTAACCCTTTCTCAGAAACATGGTTTGCAAGTATTTTTCTCCCATTCCATAGGTTGCCTTTTCATTTTGTTTGGTTTTCTTTGCTGTGAACCAGCTTTTCAGTATTATATAGTCCCACTTGTTTATTTTCTCCCTTTTTGAGAACCTCTTCCAGCCACCTTTTCCAACCTAAATTTGAAATATACATTTAACTCCATTGGTTTTTTTTAAATGACCCCAAAGTAGTATAGATCCGAAGAATAGAAATTGTGACATCATTTATCTAACACTGTCCTTTTTAGTACAAGAAGAGAAACTTTTGGTAGCCTCAATACGTTTATGCTCTCAATGTTGGTTCACCTGGATTCTCCCTTATTTTTTTCCCTTGATCTCTATGTTACTCCTCTTCCTTTCAGAGTTTTCATCTCCTTCATAAGGGTACTCCAGGCTAATAAGTAAAGAACTTCCACCTGAATCAAATGAATCACATTTTGCATCTAGCAAAAATTACTCTGCCCAGATCTTTGCTGATTCCACTCTGGAAATGGATTAGTTATGGCCCCATAGTTGGTGAGCACAAATCACCTTGAATCCCTCCTCAAAAAAACAATGGTTATGGCTCCCCACACCCCTGCCCCGGATTACATGGAGACAAGCACACCTTACTGACTGGGTCTGTTGCTCCCTAGATCCATGTCATAACCATTCTGGCTGCCACCTTACTTTTGTTCCCAATATCTATTTCTGGTGCTACTCCTCAATATCTATGACTATTCTATTTCTAGATCTAAAGACCCCATTTATCGCTTCCATGGCTCCTGAATATTCATTCGAGCACAGCTTCACCTGCAACTTTGCTTTAGGAATTTTTTTTTTCCCATAACTATCTCTACGGAATGCTTGCCCTTATAATGCCCAGGACTTTCCAAAGAAGACAATAATCTGATTAAATATAAATTAAACTGTTTTAATATATAACTACTGAAGCAAAACATATTCATTTGAAAAGTCTGAGAAATTTGGAGAAAAGAGTGAAGAAGGCTTTGGGAGAGTAGAAAACTAACATATCTCTTAAAAATTTTTTTCTTTATTTATAGTCCTAACTTTTACAGCTGCTTGGAAGATGTCAGAATCACTTGGGGGCACTTATATGCAACAAACCTCTTACTGACTTGCACTAGTAATCTTATTTTAATACTCTACTGTGGAGACATGGTTAGAATTGTTTAGAATTAATGAAAATCAGATCAGACATGGATTCATTAAAGGAAGAAAATTTATTTATTTATTTTTACATACAGAAAACAAGTCCTTCAGAAATATTTGCTCTTTTCAATTAAATTCATATTTTTATTCAGAAATAAGTGAAACATTCTCCTCCCTTTATTTCCATCTCTTCTCTCCAGCATTTCATTCTTTCCTAGTCTTCCCTTTTACAAGGAGAAGAATTTTAAATACATGTTATCACTCTGGGGAGGTTGAAAGGGATGCATAATGACAGGTATGCTTGCTTCCTGCTAGACCCTATGTTAAGTTCTGTGAATACAAAGGTAAGTACAATCCTAACCTGGCTTCTTAAAGAATTCAGTCTATTTAGAGAAACTGATATCTATGTAATAATTGTATAATTATTGTCTAATATGATTACTACTCACATACAGTTTTAAACAAAATATTATAGATGAATAGATAAGGGAATAGTTCATTTTGCTAGGGAGATTTAGGAACATGTCACACAAATTAAATTGCAAATGGTACAGCAATATGATGGGTGGTTTGCAGTAGAGATATCCTGGCCCCACACTGCTCAGAGTTGGCCTTTGAGCTTGAGAATGAACCATCAGTTAGATGCTGTCAGGGACAAAAGGCAAAAAAGTAGATGAAAGCAGAGACCCAAGGAGGCTGTCAGCAGAGATCAGCTCTAAGTGAGATGGGTCGATCCAGGCTTGGGCCAAGTGACAGAGTCAAGGCAACTAATCACATATGCTCAGCTGGGACACTCTTGCAACTTCATCTCAAAACAAAACAAAAAAGTGTAGAAACAAAACATATTAATATAGCTGTTAAGAATAGGGCAGGCAGATGGACACCAGCCATCCAACTGAGGTATAGTTTAGGGTTTTTCAAAAAGAACCAGTGCTTAATGAAAGAACTATAAAGAAGCCAGATTACCTGTTCTCTGAGGAGGCAAATCCTCTAAGTAGTCATCTACAGCCTGTAACATCTGCTTCAGCACAGAGAGGATCAGAATGTCCTTTAAAGGGTCTGGCTCCCAGTCTGAAGCATAATTGTCGACCAGCAAAATATTATAAATAGGAATGTTAAGTATTTTTTGGACTTCCATTATCTATAGGAGAAAAAATGAATTTAGTAAGAATAAACCTTATGTCTAAAATTTGATTGAATTTAAATACAATTTAAAAACACAATGGTTTGATACATTCTCTTCAGAATGTAATTATAATTCAGATAATTATAGTTTTTAATGATGTATGAACTTGATTTAACCAGGTAATTGATCTATTTTTTATTTACTTGTGAAGATGTAGTGTGAGCATGTCCACGTGCACACACACACACACACACGTACACACAGAGTATAACACTATTATGATAACAGGTGGTTACAAACAGTGTTCTTTACCTGGCTTTGAGAAGTCACAGATTTTTTCATGTTTAAAAAGTTGTCCTGAAGAACTTCATGGTAATTTTCCACTTTAGTAAGCAAGGCTACCTGTGCTACACCTATATCAAGTAAATAAATCAGTTATTCTATATCATGATCAGCAACATGTCAACAAGGTAATTAAATATGTACAAAATTGGTTCTCTGCAGGATGGTTTTAAGATTTGGAGAATGAAATATCCCCAATATATCTCAATATGGAAACTGAAGTTCTTCTATTAGGAGAAATAATCTTTTTCTTCCAACACAAGAGATCGCTTCTAAATGCAACTAAATTTTACTATGTTGTAATCGTCTACTATTCCATTCAAATAGTGTATTTTAAAGTGGTTGGCCAGGGTGACTCAGTTGATGGGGTCATAGTCCTGTACACCAAAGTTTCAATTCCCAGTCAGGGCATGTGAAGGAGCAGCTGATGAATAATAATAATTTTAAAAAAATAAAGCAGTTGGGTGGGAGTGGTTTCTGGACCTTGAGAATTAAAAGGAACCCCAAGAAAGAAAGTGAGAAGGGTTTGTGTGTATATTTATAAAAGCAAAATGCACTGTTTTCACATTTCTAAGGACCTCTTGCCTTCACCCTCACACCACAGGGATCAATAAATCTCATTCGGCTTCTAACCCCAGGAAAAAATATTATAAAGTTGAAATGTCCAGAATGTCTCTGAAACTCCTTTAGCAGAGCTTTCAGAATTTCCTCCTAGAGAAATCGTGTTTGTGATTCCATTTACTATACGATGGCCTTCACTATCTTCTCTTCATTCATGTCCCAGATGAATAAGTAGTAAAGTTGGCCATTTAAAACCTGGCCTCTGACAGAGGGCAGGACTCAACTGACAGGTATAATTTTTTTCAACTCCTGTTGCAATGTAGTTCTTCTCTCTCCAAATGTATGCAGTATCTTCTTAGAGACTCTAAGTCAGCACAGTTGCATGCATTAAGCATTACCACCCAACGTGGTATGGAGACATGGGTCCTTTAAAAACTCATTTCTGCTCAGTAGTTAGAGCAAAGGGTTTTGGGTTCAATTCCCAGTCAAAGGCATGTATCTGGATTGCAGGTTTGATTCCCAGCCTCAGTCAGGATGCATGCAGTAAGCAACCAATAGATGTGTCTCTCCCACATTGATGTTTCTCTCTCTCTCTCCCTCCCTCCCGCTCTCTAAAAATCTAAAAAACCTCACTCTCTAAAATATCCTCAAGTGAGGTTTAAAAAAACTCTCCCTGGACGGTTTGCCTCAGCGGTTAGAGTGTCGGCCCATGGACCAAGGAGTCATGGGTTCAATTCCGATCAACTGCATGTACCTTGGTTACGGTTCGTCCCCAGCCCTGGTCAGGGTTGTGCGGGAGAAAACCAGTCAATGTGTCCCTCTCACATTGATGTTTCTCCCTCTCTCTCCCTCCCTCTCTCTCTCCCACTCTATCTGAAGATAAAATAGAAAAATATCCTTGGGTGAAGATTTAAAAAAAAAACTCATTTCAAATCTGAACACTTCTGTAATTCAGTCTTATCCCAAATCCACCATAATTTTAGATCTGTTAAATGCTTATATACTTACATTGAGTATATCTAATGTCTATTACAACCTTTAGATGCAGAACTTATTGTTCCCATTTTACAGAAGAGGAGACTAAAGTTCAGTGCACTTGAGTTAACTTTCCAAAGATCAAAAATTATGAGTTAAAAAAAAATCTAGATTTAGCCCTGGCCAGTTTGGTTCAGCAGTTGGAGCATTGGCCCGCAGAACAATGAGTCTCAGGTTCGAGTCTGGTCAAGGGCACATACCTTGGTTACAGTTCATCACCAGCCCAGGTTAGGGTCGTGTGGGAGGCAACCAGTCAATGTGTCCCTCTCATGTGGATGTTTCTCTCTCTCTCCCTCTCTCTCCCTCCCTTCCATTCTATCTGAAGATAAATGAAAAAATATCATCAGGTGAGAATTTTTTTTTTAATCTAGGTTTACTTAGCCACTAAGACCATGGTCTATACATTAATCTGCTTAGATTTTTTTTCAGAAACCTAAATATAAGTGGTCTTTCTATTAATATACTAAACAATGAGGCTCTGGAGTATATATGTCCTAACAAGTCTTACACTAAAATGCTTTGGAAGTTCACTGAGAGGACTTCCATACAGTTCTGGATCAAATAAAAAAGACACTCTTCAAGAAAAAGGCTCCAGGCCCAGATAGGTTCATTAGAGAATTCTACTAAATATTAACACTACACAATCTCTTCCAGAAATATAAGAGGAAGGAACATTTCCCAACTCATTTTATAAGTCCAGCATTACCCTGATACCAAAATCTGACAAAGAAAAAAAGAAAACTACAGACCAATATCCCTCGTGAATATAGATGTAAACATTATTAATAAAATATTATTAGATAAGATTCATCAATATATGAAAAGAATTATGTGCTATGAATACATGGGTTTTATTCTAAGATGACAAGGCTGACTCAAGATTCAAAATCAATCAATGTAATCTACCACATTAACAGACTAAAGAAGAAGAAAATCCCATGATTAGGTAAATTTATACAAAAAAACTATTTGACAAAAATTTAACACCCATTCATGATAAAAAATAAAAAACTCACAGAGAATTGGGAATAAAGAACTTTCTTATTTTGATAAAGAACAACTATAAAAAGCCCATACACTAATATTCATGGGATCTTTATTTGCAATAGAAGTAATCAAAATGTACTTTGCTAGAGAATGGTTAAATGTGGTATACCTATGCTGTGGAATACTACTAAACAATAAAAAGAAACGAACAACTTCTAAGGATATGAGACTGAGTGTAAATGTGTCAAAAAGTGATATACTGTATAATTCCATTTATATAACATTCTTAAAACAACAAAATTATGGAGTGAGAGACTAGATTAGTGATTGTTGAGAATTAGGGATGGTGGGGGATTAAGGGGTACCATAAGGGAAATTTTTGTGGTGATTGGCTACTTCAGTATCTTGATTAATGTGGTCACATGAATCTCATGATAAAACAGAATAGAGCTATACATGCCAATTAAAAGAGTGTCAATTTTCTGGTTTTGATCATCCTGGTCTAGTCACATAATGTGGGAGGTGACTCCCCTATCAAGCTACCAGAAAATCACACATGACAAAAATGTGTCAGGACTGAAGAGTAAGATTTAGGGCTTTTCCTTCAGTCAAGGCTGTGGATGTTTTCTGCCTGTTCTTGTCACCAATCAACCCAGGGCTTAGGAAATAGATGAAGGGTACATGGCACCTCTCTGTACCCTCTTTGTAATTTCCTATGAGTCTATAATTATTTCAAAATAAAAATATATATATTTATAAGTGCAATGAGACTCACCGGAGTTTAATACTTCTTCTTTAACTTGTTTTAATTTTACCACCATTTCAGAGGTGAGATTGTTGATGCAGTTGATATCTAAAACATAAGCCACGCAGTGAATCCTGTCCCCCAGTGATGGAGAGGTGAAGTTAGGATGCCTGGATGTAATTGGTTTCTGGGGATTAAACTGTTAGAGAAACATAAGGTAACATTTAGCTAGTTTCTGTTGAATTCTTTGAGACAAAATTCATGCTTCAAACGTAACCACCACTAACCTCCAACCCAAAATGCTCCCCCCTTGCAGCTTCTTCTTCCCCAGATTTATTAGTGGTGTCTTCCTCCATATTTCCTCTCCACTGTGAGCACAATGCAATCTATTTTTTCTTAATAGTAAAACCACTTCATTACTTTTGTAACAAATTATAATTACCATAATTTACATCACCCATAATGGAACTATTTTAGGAAAGTACAAACAATGTTTTATTTTGTTTTTGTTTTTTTGTTTTTTTTAAAAAGCTAACTTCAAATCCCAGTCTCCAAAAAAAACTACCATTATCAATGTTACCCACCATTTAAGACTCCTCTCTAAACATTTTGCAAACTCAAATGAACTAATGAATAGAAAGGAAAGGAACGAGAAAATATACTAAAAATTTGATTAAAAGTAAAATACTATAATTTCTTTTAATTTTACAGAAAAAAACAAAAAACACACTAAGGTAAAACAGAAGAATTACCAAATTTCAAGTTCAAGTTAATATCTCCTTACTACAAGACAATAATCATTCTAGGATTAGGAAAATATATTACAAAACATATATTACAAATCAGTAAAAGACTGATTCGTTGTTTTTTTAACTATGTTGGACTTGGACAGAATCAATTCATTGTTCTCCACTGTGAAAAATGAAGATGGTGGTATGCTCATGATTTTTCTTTCTGTTTTGCTCCTCCTCCTTGTGTCTTTATGTCTTCTTAAATTGTGAGCTCCATGAAGATAAAAATTATGTTCTTATTCAACTATGTGCTTCTAGTATCTAGCATAGTGTCTGACACAAATTAGGTTTTAAATAAATGTTTTTTTAATATGAGTACATAGTTACAGTTTCCAATCAAGCACAATTGAGGCAAAAGAAGTCACTGTTTAGAAATTGAGGCTCATTGTATTATACGCAATACCTAAAAGAAAGGTGATAATAATAGGGAACTTTCTGAGAATGTAGAGTACATCAGCTCATTTATCTTTTCAGCCACCTTATGAAATAGGCAATATTATTACCTACAAATACATTTCACACATGAAAAAAGCTAAGACTTACAGAGACAAGTATATGATATGCTATGGGTACACATCTAAATAGTGGCAAAGCCAACCTATAGATCTAGGTGTTTAAGTAGTATTTAAGTAATGAAGTATTTATAGTATAGCCTCATGATTCAACAACAACAAAAAAAAAAAAGCATGATTATTTCAATGTTTTGTCTAAGTGATCAAAAAAGTGTGAGATTAAACTACTATTTTCTTGTAAATATACATTGTAGTAAAGAGTGGTATAAACACAATCTGCTCCTGACCTTTTATTAGAAGCAGAATCCTGCTTTCTGACTATATTTCTTAATTCTGTAGAAAAGAAGAACAGTTACTCTCCTTATATGAATATTTACTCATTTAAAGTACAGGGTGTTGATTAATGTTGAAATCACCTAATGACTGTTGAAACTGCCTTATGGAGTAAAAATTAAACAAAAAGCATAATAAAAATTATTTGAAATGTTTTAGAGACTTAAGAGTTCTTACGTGATATCTGTCTGGCATGCAGCCTTTTAGGATGTGGGGTATGTCATCTACGCACAATCCTACTCCCTCTTTCTCATCCAGCCCCATGGTGTCACACAGCATAAATGGCAGAGATGTGCCGTCTTTTCCATCTTTAATAGAATATATCCTATACTAAAAAAAAGGGGGGGTAAAATTGCATTCTTCAACTAGTATTCAAGACATGACAATAGGAAGACCAGAGACTGGTTAATATTTTAACACTATTATCCTCAAACATTTAGGTCTCAGAATCATCTTAGACTCTTAAAAATGATTGAGGATCCCACAGATATTTTATATGAGTTATATTTATTAATATTTAACAGTAATTAAAACTGAATTTTAAATATTTCTTAAATCATTTTAAAATGCAATTATAAATCCATTACGTTAACCTAAACAAAAGTTCTGTGAAAAAAATAAAATTACTTTCCAGAAATATAAAGAAGTTACTTTTTTCAATTTTTTTCTAATATCAGAATTAATAAAAGAGAGCTGGATGCTCCTGTCTGCCTCTGCATTCAATCTGTTGTGCTATATTGTTTTGGTTGAAGTATATAAAGAAAAACCTGGCCTCACACACATATATGTAGTAGGAACAGGGAGTGAGTATTTAATAGCTTTCAGAGATTTTTATATATTCCTCATTAATATGCATGAAAGCTCAACAAGTGATAATTTCTCAAAGATTAGCTGCAATATGGAACCTGTGCCATTTTCATACTCCGTTACATTAAATTACATTTTCACTTTGAAAATATATTTTATCCACACATGATTTTGTAACCTGATGCATTAGTCCTTTAAAATATCAGTTCATTGGATGGCTTATTGAGATTTTCCAAATATTGGCACATTTCATTGCACAACATTAAAACATCAAATCTGTTAATACCACCGTTAATCTCATCAGATAATTGTTAGAAAGTTATCAAGCTCAAAGTGGTGTTTCTTAAAGTTCTAATATTTATTTAACAGCGAAAATGTTATCATTGGCAACCAGCACTGTTGGTTTTCCTTGGAGTGATAGGTTTCCTTTGTGCAATTTCCAAAAATTGTCTGCCAAACAGGCAGCATGACTAAGCAAGTCTGTCAGTTGTCTTTTTGATTAAAAATCTGTTAGAGGAGAAAAGTTCAGCTCACAACTCAATCACACTCGTGCCTTTGCCCACCATCCACCATAATGTGATATGCATTAAAAGCGCTTTATATGTACTTCTCATCTCGTTACACAAACTATTAAGATGATGTGTACCCAGAAGTTAAGTTTAAATAAAATTAATAAATGTTACTGATTTATCAAGGATAATCTTGCTCTTATGTGAAATGCGCTGTTTGTTTCTACAGCAAGCTCAGTGATGAGGAAGAATAGTGACTGCTAGCAGTGCTTGGTGCCATTGCTTGATGAGTGCTAAGGTGCCAATTGATAAAACTAAGTTTGTATGGTCTGTTCAAACGTCAATACACTAGACAAGGCAAAAACCATCTCAGTATTGTTATAAAAATAGTTTTAAACACACAGATCCTCTAAAAGGGTCTCAGGAGCGACCAGGGGCCTTACAAACCCCATTTTGAGGAGCACAGTTTTAACAAACTTTTCCTAGATAAACACACTCAATCTGATCCCAAAAGAGCTTTTCAGTAGCACCCTGAAAAAAAAAAACCTGTATTTATTGGTCAAACGCTCTTTGAACATAGACACAACTATGGGAGCTTTGGGAAGAATTACCAAAAATAAAAGGGTGGGGGTGTGGTCTCTCAGTGACACCAGATGGCACTCTAATCACAATTCTCCCATTTCAAACCAGGACGTTCAGAATCCCTCTACGACCTATTGTAAACTGTGACAATGTCAAGGGCTCCCACCAGTCCCTAAAATGTCTAGAAGTGGTCCCATTGGAGATTGTGATCTAAGTCAATGGGACTTACTGGTGCCTCAACATGAAAGGAACTGCACGCACGAAGCGTTAGAGTTACATACGTAAGGACATTTACATTTTAAGACCAATATGCACATTCATGGTTTCACTGACCATTAGTTTGTTTCCCTGATTTTTACTGGGAACTTCAATTCTTCAGAGAGAAAGGTCTTTGAGCAATAAAATATCATTTCCCTTACAAATATTCTGCCCTGTAGCCCTTCAATTTATACAGTATTTGCATTTCATTTGGAGTTCAGGATCTACGTTTTTATCTTAAAGCAATGCCTTTGGAGTTTTCAACGTAAAAGGAAGGGAGAGAAATTCTGTCCTGATGAGTACCTGTATTACAGCATCTATTACACTGAATGATACTTACTTGTTTACTACCTACACTGGTCTCTAAGGTCCTGTAGCAAAGGCACTAAGTATTGTGTTTACTCAGGTCTCTATTGCCAACATAATATTTACCAAACACAACATTTCAATCAAATGTTGAATGTATTGAATTGCTGTAGCAGTACCTGCCTCAGCTTCTGTTACTAGGCTGATATATCAAAATGAAGCCACTCTGGATTCTGGATAGAATCTAGACAACTTAAAAAACAAAATGTGATTCTAGAAAATGCTCTCAGTTATTGAATATGACATGACATAAACGAGCCATTACTGTTTTATGCTAAATTTTACACTGACAGTGCATAGCATATTCCTAATCGGAAGAAAACAGTATTAGGTTGTAGCAATTTTAAACACAGCTTGGCCATGAAATTTTATAGTTACTATTTTTATTATTCTTTGTATGATAACATTTGACAAGCATAAAACAGAATTTTCTAGATAAACATTGCACCATAATTTATAGATATTTGGAGTAACAGTTTTAAAATGGCCTTAGTGTTGATTTCCTTAAATATATTTGTTTACAAATAAGATGATGTTTGCAGGAGCATTTATAGATTCTCCTTCTGAAGGTTAACCCACCAAAGTGTTCTGTTGTTCATTATCATTGCTTATAGAATGGTCTTATATAATGAAAAATTACTGTATTACATAGTTCTCATTGTGTGTTTTTTTCATGAAAAGAGAAAATCATTTCAATCCAGATAAAGCCATGTGGGACATGAGTAAAAATATACATTAAATATGATGAATAAGGATTTTCATAAAGTTTTTACAATTTTGTTCCTGTTTTCTAAAACTCCCCCAAATCATTCTTTATATAACTACTTCTTGCCCCCATAAAAATGGAAAGCATTGTTGTATAATATAACTTCATGGAGGCAATTCTCATTCCATTTTTACTCCTGTTTTACATTTAAGTTAGCATTTGATTATTTGTAGATTAAGAGGTTACTGTTCTAAGAGAAAATGGCAAAAAATATATATTTTGAATATATATAAATATATATAATATATAATATCAGCAAACCTAATAACTATAATTTATAAAAATTCTCAAGAAATTCTGAGATAACTTACCAGTTCAGTAATGCTGGTGATATCAGACCCCACCGCGGCTTGGCGAGTCATGTGGCCTCGGAAAACAGACTTCACTGAATTGATAAAACTGGACTTTCCAGACCCAACTGGACCCAGTAAGAGAATATGAATTTCTGAAACCAAGTCTGCATAAGGTTTATAATTTCTGAGTTCTGCTAGGAGCGTACTTCTGCGCCTGTTAAAATGCAGTGGTTAAATACAATGGTCAAACTTCTACAAACAATAGTGCAATTCTTCTGCAGCTTCTTGACTCCTGTTTTAAACATATGTCTTAATTACTTGGTTATTATTTTTATTTATTTATTTATTTATTTATTTATTTATTTATTTATTTATTTATTTTAATCCTCACCCGAGGACATTTTCTTTTCTTTTCTTTTTTTTACATTTTTCTTCAGATAGAGTGGGAAGGAGAGAGAAACATCGATGTGAGAGACACATTGAGTGACTGCCACCCATACTACTCAAACCAGGGCCTGGGACAAACTACAACCGAGGTGCCCTTAGTGGGAACCGAACCCGGGACTCTCTGGTCCGCGAGCTGACACTCTACCACTGAGCAAAACTGGCCAGGGCTATTTATTTATTTTTTTAATCCTCACCCAAGTATATTTTTCTATTTATCTTCAGCTAGAGTGAGAGGGAGAGACAGAAAGAGAGAGAAACATCAACCTGAGAGGGACACATCAACTGGTTGCCTCCCACACGACCCCAACCAGGGCCAGGGACGAACCGCAACTGAGGTACATGCCCTTGGCTGGAATCAAACCTGTGACTCATTGATCCACGGGCTAACGCTCTACTCCTGAGCCAAACTGGGCAGGGCTTGGTTATTACTTTTACGTCAACATCTTCTATCATATGATTTGAAAGGTCTAGGTTATGTACCTTATGCTTGAAGAAAAAGCATTTATCTATGTCTGACTAAAAGTTAAACATTAACCATCAACAAAATAATTGTCAAACTATGACCATTAGACCACATAAATCTAAAATAAGAGATATCAACAACACTGAACATGAATTATTATTTTCAGTAATAATATTATATTAAGAGAAAATGGAAAATAAAATATATGCAATGCAGATATGAACCTATAAATTGGGGAAAGACGGCTTTGTTTTGAAAATTTACTGATGTTCTCCAAAAACTTTATTGAGGAAAACTTCAGAGGCATTGTCTAAAATAATCATCTAAACTCTATCTGGAAAACTGAATATAACAGGTCGAAAGTAAAACCTAAAGTTAAATTGTCATCAAATGGATTTTTAAAGTTGCACAGTTGGTTGTGCTTTGTTTTTGATGTTGGTCTAGACTGCCTTGAACACATTATGTCAATAACATTATAATTCATTTGTATCATTTCAAGTGATTTTTATCTCTTTATTTCATTGTCCATAAATGATTATACAATTGGTCTAAATGAAATGAGTAATAGATAGTCCAAGAACCTAACTTACTCTGTGGCTCCTGTTATCCTTCTTATGTAGCCTCCATCATCCTTAATTCCTAGAGGGAATAAGCACAGCATCATAATTTTTTAAACTCCTTTAGTTCCCTTCAAAAATCTAATTAAATGTGGCCAAGTCTACCTTCTAAATAGGGCATTAACTGTGCTTGCATAACCCAGGGCTTAGCTGATCAGTTAGGAATTTGTGTCAGCAGCATAACAAGAAGAGGAAAAATTATCTTCTCAAAGACAATAAGAAGCTGGGAAAATTCCTGGGCAAATGGAACTGAGAAACTAAGACGAGAAAATTAAACAAGGCCAAACAATTTAAACAACTTACACCCAGCTAGTGAATGACAAGAATGTATCTTCCCTAACCAAGGGAGCAAATGGTTTATACCTTTCCTCCCTAAGCACTGAATAAATAGCTTAAATCATCCTGGTCAGGGAGATAGAGAACAGAGACTCAATTAATGCCATTTATGCCACCCAAACCCAAGGATGCTTGAAGTCAGGGGAACAAATAACAAAAACCCAATTAAAGCTAGGCAAACCCAAGATAAAAGTAAAACAGTAAAGCAAACCAAAGAATAATTCCCAACCCCACTATAAGCTCATTTTGATGCATCAGCATATTAAAAACACACCTGGAAAGCCAATGAATATTCTGCTGAAACCCTCCCCTAAGATTCTCACCCACAGAAGAGAGATAAAAACCCTCAGGACAAAAACCAGGTGGAGGCTCACTCTAGGGCATGCCTGCGCCCTTTCTTGGGCATGAACTTTTTACTTCCTCCTGAGCTCTAAGGGTTCCCACAAGATTTGCAACCAGAGGAACAGTGGGCAGCAGCAGCTCTGACTTTCCAGGGAACTAAAAACATCCCCGCCTGCGCTCACGTCTTCCCTATAACCTTTCTAGGGAGCCGCAGCAAAGCACTGCCCCCCAGGCTTTCTTTTGTTGCTTCTTCTACCCTATGTCCTTCCTTGGTTTCACTGTCCCAACCCTCACACTCTAAAAATCACCTGGACTTGCCCTGGCCAGTTTGGCTCAGCGGTTAGAGCATCGGCCTGCGGTCCGGAGAGACCCGGGTTCGGTTCCCGCTAAGGGCACGTACTTCGGTTGCAGTTTGTCCCCGGCCAACCGTGCGGGTGGCAGCCACTCGATGTGTCCCTTTCACATCGATGTTTCTCTCTCTCTCTCCCTTCCTCTCTCTCCCTCCCACTCTATCTGTACAAAAAATGGAAAAAATCCTCGGGTGAGGATAAAAAAAAAAAAAATCACCTGGACTCCTGTGGTGAAGTCTTTTCTACAGGAAGTCAAGAACCCACACACTGCAGGCCGGCCTGAGGCAGAATGGCCCTATTCCCATCTGGTAACATCCACCCATTGACTCACTCTGGAAACATTCAGGGAACTAGGCCTAAAAGTTTTAGGACTGACCAAAAACAGGGATCGTGTGTCAAAAGAGACCTGCTCTGATAGTGAGGTCTCTCTTCTCTCTCTCACTCTCTCTCTCTTCCCCCCCACCCCACCCCACCATCTCCACCTCATCACTCACACTTCCCAACTTAGTTTGCTCAGAGCTACCTATACTTTCCAGCCTCCCAGGTTTCATCTGGAGTCTATGAAAGAGGAATTTGATGGCATTAAATTTGATTGTTTCTCTCATTTTTCCTTATGTTTATAATCAGTTATAACCAACTAAACGTAAAGACTAGAATGAGAATGGAGGATTATCTGATTTAACATACCTTCAACTCTAAAAACTTCACATTCCAAATAGCCAAAAACACCGGGTCTTACTTTTAATATTTTTGCTAACAATGTAGCAAGAAAAAAGTGGCATTTGTGTGGAGTTAAGGAGAAAATTTTGTTATAACCGGAGGAATAAAATGTCAGTTCTTCAGAAGTAATTTTTGGTGCTGTGTTTAAAAATGCAGTTGTTATCTCAGTTGTATTCTTTTTAAATAAAAAATGGAAAGAAGAAGTTTGCTTTTCAAAGTCTCTGTCCTCTTGCGGGTAATGCCCAAGTATAAAAGCCCCAATAATAATCTTGTCAAGGTAAATCACCGTCACAGTGGATCCCTGCAAAGTGCACCTTTCCAGCATGTCTTTAATGCTACATCCATGGACACTAGACTTATAAAGAAGACTCAAGGAGACATTTCCAAGCAGCCTTTGCAGACCTTTTTCCTCATTCCATGTCAATCTCGTTGTCACTGCCATTGTTCTGTATCTAACAGAAAAAACAATAATAGGTTAACAGGAACGTATAGCATAGTGATTTAAAGTACAGATTTCTGCCCTGGCTGGTTTGGCTCCATGGTTAGAGTGTCGGCCCGCGGACCAGAGAGACTCCGGTTTGGTTCCCACTAAGGGCATGTACATCTGTTGCAGTTTGTCTCCGGCCCCGGTTGGGGTTGTGTAGGTGGCAACCAGTCAATGTGTCTCTTTCACATCAATGTTTTTTTCTCTCTCTCTTCCTTCCTTTCTCCCTCCTGCTCTATGTGAAGATAAATGCAAAAATGTCCTCGGGTGAGGATAAAATTAATTAATTAAAAAATAAATAGATAAATAAAGTACAGATTTCTGTTTCTAGTTCCAGTAGTTATTTTTCTCTCTGATCTAATGAAAACATGTTATTTGAATCATAAGGCAATAGAAATGGAACAATAATAGATAGATATTAAATATAGGTAATTTAGATATAAAAATATAATTAAAGTCAGTAGACAAAACAAAATACATACTGGATAAAGAATGTAGAAAAAATAATAAATTAGAATAGGGATCAGCAAACTTTTTCTTAGTGATGATGATTAGTAAATATTTTACGCTTTGTGTCCATATGGTCTTTGCCACAGTTACTGAGCTTTGCCAGTGTAATGAAAAAGCAGCCATCAATATGTAAACAAACAGCAGGACCGTGTTCCAATAAAACTTTACAGAAACCGGTGGCTGGCACACAGGTCACAGTTTGCTAACCCATAAATTAGAAGATAGAAATGAAGAATTCATACAGAAAAGAGCTTAAAAACAAAACAAAAAAAACTAGAACTATGAAAAGTGTTAACAGGCATGAAGGCCCCAGAGTGGCAGAACAGACCATTAGCCATCGTGCCAATTCTTTCAATGAGAAAAATTAGAAATGCAGAATAAACTGTAAAATACATAGATCTGAGCCCTGGCCAGTTTGGCTCAGAGGTTAGAGTGTCGGCCTGCGGACCAGAGAGTCTTGGGTTCGGTTCATGCTAAGGGCACGTACCTCAGTTGCAGTTTGTTCCTGGCCCTGGTTGGGGTCATGTGGGTGGCAACCAGCTGATGTGTCTCTCTCACATTGATGTTTTTCTCTCTCTCTCTCTTGTCCCCTCCCTCCCTCCCGCTCTATCTGAAGACAAATGCAAAAATGTCCTCAGATGAGGATTAAAAAAAAAAATACATAGATTTGAAATCATTGGTGAGCTTCCAAACCAGTGAAGAATTACTTTATTGGTTAAGATTTGGAAAAGAAATGAATACAGAGAGGTAAACTTGGCATTTCGGAGCACATTTCCCTGAGATGCATCTATCAACTTTAGAAGAGGTAACATGAGATGCTGAGAAATTAACCTGAGTGTTTGCCAGACTCATCAAGTTAAGGAAACATGGCACAGCAAGGAAGATGCTGTGGGTAAGGATCCTGAAGAGATACAGGGAAGAAGTGAGGATGGGTGAGCTGGAAGTAGATAGACATAATCCCATCTTCTAGGAATCTCAATCTATGACAAGTTTAAGATAAATGAGAATTGCTAGTGGCCCTAGAAGCATGATGTATGCAAAATAAAACCTTGTCTAAATGAAGACAACATTGTTTAGCCTCAAATTATCTCTACAATCTTTTATTTTTAATATTCAATGCCTCACACTAATCATAAGCACTGGGGACTAAATACAACATGATAAAAAGCCAAGAAGAAGAAAAAAAGAAAGAAAAGGAAATAAAAACAAGCCCATACGAATAATGGAGTTACCCACAAAGATTTTTTTTTTTTTGAAATGCAATCTTGCGATTTTATTTGCTTAACTATTAAAACAACCTCTTTAAAAAAACTTTATTGTTGAAAGTATTACAGATATCCCTCCTGCCTTTTTTTCCCCCATTGATGGCATGGAGGGACCTAGAGAGTATTATGCTAAGCTAAAGAAGCCAGTCAGAGACAGACAAGTGTCACATGATTTCACTTATATGTATAATCTGATGAAAAAAAATAGATCCAAAGACGTGGAAGCAGGGAACAGATGCAACTCAGAGGGAAGAGGGAGGGAGACAGAAAGAGGTAAACCAAAGAACACATATATATTTTAAAATAATTATGCTTGCTTTGTTCAAATAATTAAAAGTTAAAATTGAATGGTTGAGAGCAAAATTTAAAAAATTAAAAAGACAAAAATAAATTCTGGACTTAAAAATTTATAAATTTAAATTTTTTCTTTTTTTTTTTATTCTCACCCGAGGACATTTTCCACTTTTTGTTCAGATAGAGTGGGAGGGAGAAAGAGGAAGAGAGAGAGAGAGAGCAAAACATCTACGTGAAAGGAACACATCGAGTGGCTGCCACCCGCACGACCAACCAGGGCCGGGGACAAACTGCAACCGAGGTACGTGCCCTTAGCGGGAACCGAACCCAGGCCTCTCTGGACCGCAGGCTGACGCTTTAACTGCTGAGCCAAACCGGCCAGGGCATAAATTTAAAATTTTAAAAGAATACATTTAACAGCAAGTTATACACACTGGAAGGAAGAATTCATCAGAAGAAAATACATCAAACTAAAGAATGAAACAAAATATAAATCTGATCCAACTATATGGAGATTATACTAGAGTAAATTTATTCTTTATTGTTCCCTGTGTTCACAATTTTCATTAAAAAGCAAAACATGCCCTGGCCGGTATGGCTTAGCAGTTAGAATGTCGGCCTGCGGTCCAGAGACACCCAGGTTCAGCTCCTGCTAAGGGCACGTACCTTGGTTGCAGTTTGTCCCCAGCCCTGATTGGTCCTGCGGGTGGCAGCCACTCGATGTATCCCTTTCACGTCAATGTTTCTTCTCTCTCTCTCTCTTCCTCTCTCTCCCTCCCACTCTACTTGAACAAAAAAATGGAAGAATGTCCTTGGGTGAGGATAAAAAAATAAATAAATCAATAAATAAAAAGCAAAACATATGAAAGACAAAAGTAAGATCATTAGCAGCAGTTCCATTCTGAAATTCTTTTCCTAAGAAAGAACAACAGGCTATTTTCTTCACACACACAACTGGGAAGGAAGCAGGATGCCACTTACCTGGCTTTAAGAGTCTGATCAGGCTTAAATGGAGTAGTATCTACTATCTGGCTTCTGCGGCAGCCACACTTTGGAGACAGAAAGTTCTGCTGAGATTATTGACTTCCCATCTGAAAGTTTAACTCAAAGCAGCAATCAGCTCTCAACATGCCAAGTGCCATTAAGTTTCTTTTTCCCTGCGTCAGAGGGAGAAAACGAAACCAAAACAATGAGACTCTTGCTGAGCACATGAAAATGAGTTTTGCTTCCTCATATAGCCTGCAAATATTAATTTTAAAAATTATAATAAAACTAATAACTACCATTTCTCATGCATTTAGCTATGTACTTAGCACCGTGCAACTACATGCCTTTTTCTAGTTTCTCCTCAAAACAATATTATTCAGTAAACACTGTTAGTATCCCTATTTCTCAAAGTATAAGAATGAAACTTAAGGACATTAAGTGACTTTATGCAAAGTAACTCAACTAAGAGAGTGGTGAAGCTGGCTAGTATTTAAAATCAAGTATTTCTGCACTGGAACAAAGAGATGAAGATGCAGCTTTCCTGAATTCATTCAAATGGCACTACACTGCTTTTTCCCCCATTTATACATCTGTTCATTCAACACTGCCTAGATCCTGGGGGAGGATAATGCTGAATAAGATAGAAATACTACCTTCAAGGATCATGCCGTGTACTCAGAGAGACAGTCAGGTACACAGACAATTATATTGGCAATAATGGAGGAGGAAAAAAAAAAAAGCATTGCCAAGAGAGTCACTTAAAATACAGTAGGGAGGCTTTTGAGGAAGAGAGGTCTATGCAGCACATCTATGTCTCAGTTCTCAGAACTGCTATAAAGTTGCTAACCTGTTGCTAAACACCCTGGAACATATATGGACTTATCTGGTGGTCCTTATAGGTTTCCTCTCCCTCATTTGCATATTAGAACTAACCAGTCCTTGTTAATCTAGCCGGGAATCCCTCATTTGCATGGAAGACCTAAATGGGAACTGCACTTGTGGTTTTTGCCTTTACAAACCCTGCCTTTCTTATTCCCTTCAGAGCACAATTTAGGTGGCTAAATGCTAAAAAAGCACTAAGTACAAGATTCCCTGGGAATCAAGAGAATGAACACATCACCCAGTCTTAGGGTACTAGTAAAAGCCTTGCAAGCAAACCAAAGTTTAAACTGAGATATGGAGTACAAGGAGGAAGTGAAGCAAGAGAGAGCATCACGTCGTCAGGGACCTCCAGTAGTTCAGTCGGGCCGGAATGGAGCGACAGCATCGGATAGGCAAGCAACATGCCAGGGAGGTGAACAGGGCCTTAAAAGTCTTTAATGGCTTCTGGTCAAGATTTCTAAATAGGTAATCAAAATTACAACTAAACTACAAGACAGTCAACATTGAGAGTCACCTGACATCTAGCTGAACAGAAGTCTTATAACTAAAGATAGAAAAAAAGAAGCCATGTGGAGCCCTGGCCGGTTTGGCTCAGTGGTTAGAGCGTCGGCCTGCGGTCCTGAGAGACTCGGGTTGGGTTCCCGCTAGGGGCCCGTACCTCGGCTGCAGTTTGTCCCCGCCCTGGTCGGTTGTGCAGGTGGCAGCCACTAGATGTGTTCCTTTCACATTGATGTTTCTCTCTCTCTCTCTCTGTTCCTCTCTCTCCCTCCCACTCTACCTGAACAAAAAATGGAAAATGTCCTCGGGTGAGGATAAAAAAAAAAAAAAAAAGAAGCCATGTGGAGACTGGTCGGAGGGACAGGCCCCACACCCACATGGCAGTTAAAAATTGAGAGGGATAGCTCGACTTCAGAGGTCCCCCCTGAAGAGTGAGGAGTCCCAGCCCCACACCAGGCTCCCCAGCACAGGGTTCCAATGCTGGGAAGAGAAGTGCCACGTAACTTCTGTCTGTGAAAGCCACAGGAGACTGTGACTCCGTGAGATGGTAGGCTGCTGGAGTCCCAGGCATTCCTCTTAAAGGGCCTGTGCATGGACTGACTGACTTGGACTCACTCATTCTGAGCTCCAATACTGTGGAAACATCTGGGGAAATGCCAGGGACACATGGGGAGGAACTGGCAGACAGTAGTGCTGGCAGAAGCTATTCCTTCAATGAGCCCTTCCCCTTCAGGCATAGGTAAACACCATATCTGAGTCTATATCCATCTGCCTAACACTGTTTGCCCAGCCCTGGTGATTCCTTGAGACCCAGGCCCATCCAAGCCTCTTCCAGTGGCTTTTCCATACAGTCTGTCTTGACTCATGCTGCTGACTTTCCTAAAATCTCTCAAAAGTTCACAAACCCCAAGTAGAAAATTTCTCTAACTTGGTGAAGGAAATAGACATACAAGCCTCTGACCTGGGCATACCACACCTGCTTACGAAGTGGCCCTAGGCCTGGCACTAGCGGCAGTCAGCCTCGATTCCCTGTTTGGTCTCTTTCGGGCACTTCTAAGGCCAGCACAATTAGCAGACATCTGCAGATCACTTTGTAGCTCATGCCCGGTGACCCCAGGTAGGACACAGACAGTAGCCAACCTTGGTCTACAACTCTAGTGGCCCCACAGACAGCACACCCAGTGGACAACTTCAGACCACACCAGAGCACCACCCAACCACCTCCACAATCAACACATTCAAAGAAAGACTCAGTGGACACCAGAGCCCCACTGAAGAGGGTCCTGCTCCTTGGAATTAACCCCTGCGCAGCAGCTTCTCCACTGTAGTTGTGACAGGTCCTTGCAGCCAATCAGCCTCAGGTTCAACCCTGCTATTGACATGCCAACAGCAATCAAGGCTCAACTACAACAAGAAGGTGCACACAGCCTACACAGGGGGAGCAGGGGGATGCACCTGGATGCCCAGCTGAGGTTACCAGAAAGGCTGTGCCACTGGGACCTACAAGATACCCTATACGTAAGGCCACTCACCAAGACTGTGAAATGTAGCAGCTTTACCTAATACATAGAAACAAACACAGGAAAGCAACCAAAATGAAGACACACAGAAACATGTCCCCATTAAAGAACAGAACTAAACTTCAGAAACACATAACAAAACAAGACCCCTACACACGTTGCCTACAAGAGAATGGGAATACAAACTGGGACAGCCTTTCAGGAGGTGAATTGAACAATACTTAAGAAAATTACAGACGCCCTTACCTTTTGGCCAACAATCCCACTTCTAAGAATCTACCTTAGAGATATAACAATGCAAAAAACACATATATACAGAGTTATTCATTGGTGCATTATTTGTCATGGAAACAACCTAAATGTCCATACATAAGAGCTCAGTTGAAGAAATGATGGTACACTTCACAGTGGAGAACTATGCAGAATATAATGTTGTGAAAAAAAGCAAGTGCAGAAAAAGAGTATTTATAGTAATCCAGATTTCAAGTAAGAAAACAGATAATATACATGTATTCACTCATTTGTGCAAAAGAAATACCAGAAACTAGAGAGACTGGTTACTAACAAGTGGAAAAGGGGTAATGAAAGGGGGACTAAGAAAGAGGTAGTAGGGACAGGGAAAAAGCATCACTTCTCGAAGTATACCCTTTCGTATGGCTGTTACTCTTAGAACTATACTAATGTTTCACCACTAAATAAATAAATAAACAATTAAAATCAATGAAGATGTAGGAGGAAATCAAAGTACAATAGAGTAGTTCCACCCTTTATCTGCAGTTTCACTTTCCACTGTCTCGGTTACCTGGGGTCAACCGCAGTCTAAAAGTACTAAACAGAAGATTCTAAAAACAAACAATTCACAATTTTAATTGCATGCCATTCTGAGTATGTCACTTCATCTCATCATGTAACCATTGTATCATCTCACATCATAACAAGAACAGTCAGTACATGATGATAAGATATTTTGAGGGAGAGAGAGAGAACACATTCATATAACTCTTATTCTAGTATATTGTTAGCATGGTTCTATTTTATTATTAGTTATTGTTGTTAATTTCTTATTGTACCTAATTTATAAAACTTTGTCATAGGTATGTATGTATTGGAAAAAATATGTGTATATACGGTTTATTTAGTATTATCCACAGTTTCAGGTATACAGTGGGGCTCTTGGGACAGATCCCCTCTGGATAAGGGCAACTATTCTATAGACAGTAACAAATGAACCTAACAGTGTGCCCATAAATAATGTAACAACACTGAAGGAGAGGAATGAGGAGGAAAAGAACTAATCTAAGTAACTGCAGAAAACAGTATTTTGACTATATACTATAAGGCTAAAGACAAAAAGAACTGTAAAACACCGTGCTCTGGTTGTGTTAACCATAGGGATTTGGGTTAGCAACTTTGAAACAAATTGTTCACACTAGAATTGAAGAAAAAAAATAAATACATTGTAAATTATAAGAGCTAGGCCTCTCTTTGTCAAAGAAATTACAAGTAAGAAAAAGAAGGCTAGCAGGAATCCTGCGGGGATGTATCCAAATTGCAGGAATTGGTACAAGCACACACACAAATAGATAGATACAGAAATGAATATAGAAGTTTGTGTGTGTGTTGATTAGTATGCAAACATATATTTCTAGATCTCTCCACTGAGAAGGCAATAGCACTGTAGCCGTGAGCATGCTTAGACTAAGACCTAGGTTTCCACATACAGTCATGCACTGCTGAACAATAGAGATATGTGCTAATAAATGCATCATTAGGCAATTTTGTTGTGCAAATATCATAGAGTGTACTTTACCAACCCAGATGGAATAGCCTACTACACACCTAGGCCACATGGTGTAGACTTGTAGCTAGGCTACAAAGTTGCGTAGCATGTTACTACACTGAATGCTATAGGCAATTGTAACACAATGGTAAGCACTTGTGTATCTAAACATATCTAAACATAGGAAGGTACGGTAAAAATATGGTATAAAAGATAAAAATGTCACACCTGTATAGGGCACTGACCATGAATGGAGCTTGCAGGAATGGAAGTTGCTCTGGGTGAGTCAGTGAGTGAGCAGTGAGTGAATGTAAAGACCTAGGACATGACTGTACACTGCTGTAGGCTTTATAAACATTGTACACGTAGACTACAAAGTTTATAAAATAATATGAAATTAAATCAAGCACAAGAGAAAATGATGCAATCAAGAGTCACAGTAACAATGTATGAAGCTGCTGCCAGCCTAACACAACATACTGCT